AATGTTCTGTATATAACTAGCGATAATATACTACATGGATTAAGCCAGTATTTGGGGCTTAGATCACTGGATCATAACTATTGCATTTCTCATTTCACTCTACAAACGACATTAAAATTAAATGTGACTTGTAACATCTCGACTTTATATTTGCTAGAGTAATATTCTCGCTGGACTGGACTCTCTGTCAGTAACAAAATAAACTGTACCCATTACAATTAAAACAAAATAACACTATCTTCCTTCCAGGTTCGTAGACGACACAAACGTGTACCGTGTAACAATCCACAAGACGTTCGAAGGCAACTTGACGACGAAGCCGATCAACGGCGCCATCTTTATCTTCAACCCGCGCACTGGACAACTGTTCCTTAAGATCATTCACACAAGCGTGTGGGCCGGACAGAAACGTCTTGGACAGGTAAAAAATAATGGATTTTTTAATACTTGCCTTGGTCCTTTTTGATCTTGAATAATTTTGAGCGGAAATGTCTTTGAATTAGACACTTATCACATAACAAAATTATACCTGAAGAAAAAAAGTTAAAACTTGAATAGTTTTACCTTTTTTTCTTCAGTTATAATTTCTTTACTACCTTTTAGACTTGGTAAGCTATTTCGACAATACTTTAAAACAAAATTTGTCAAAAATTAATAGCAGTAAAAACTATAATTTCTCGCGTTTGGTTGTTTAGCTCGCCAAATGGAAGACTGCTGAAGAAGTAGCAGCTTTGATTCGTTCCCTGCCAGTTGAAGAACAGCCTAAACAAATTATTGTCACCAGAAAGGGAATGTTGGATCCTCTTGAGGTGAGCATTTAAAATAATATGTTGTATACAGTAATTTGAATGTTTATATAATATATCCTGAATAAATTATAACTAATCTTGCCATATTTTAAATACAGGTTCACTTATTGGACTTCCCTAACATCGTGATCAAAGGCTCGGAACTACAACTTCCGTTCCAAGCGTGTCTAAAGGTAGAGAAGTTCGGAGACCTCATCCTAAAGGCCACAGAGCCACAGATGGTGTTATTCAACTTGTATGATGATTGGCTCAAGACTATCTCGTCATACACTGTAAGTATAATAAACAGAAACAAAAATGGGTTTAGAAATCCTGTACACTGAATTTATAATTTTAAAATTTTTATTTTGCATTGAGTCAAGTTTAAATCTAAATAAAAGCTGAGATTGCATAGCGCCAGTGGTCTTCTAGACATGATTTATTTAATTGCGACAATATGAAATGATGAATCGCGTAGGGGTCCTGAAACCAGAGAGTCCCTGTGCTCTGGGGCGCCGCCAGTGAGTCACGCTTGCTGATCGCAATGACGTTACCGCTTGCGGCGCTGATATAACGCTAACTGATCATATTGCTCACAATACTACCATCAAAACAAAAAAGGAACATTAATTATGGGACTGATTGAACGTAGTTATTGTGGCGTATCTTGTTTTCCACTTCGGAACAATCAAATATCTTACTGACAGATTTTCCTTGGAGACTGTTTCCCTGTATTCACAAGACAATTTACCTTTTCTTAGGCATTCAGTCGTCTGATTCTTATCCTTCGCGCTCTTCACGTGAACACGGAGCGTACTAAGGTACTATTGAAACCTGATAAGACAACACTGACAGAGCCACATCACATCTGGCCCACTCTCTCCGATGATGACTGGATCAAGGTTGAAGTACAGCTCAAGGACCTGATCCTTGCCGATTACGGCAAAAAGAACAAGTAAGTTGTAGTAATGTTATTAAGTTAACTTTTCAACAAAGCTATAAGTTTTTGTTCTAAGATTTGATAGAAGAAAGTGATAATAAAGAACATGATAATTTAGGATAGTACAATATTGTAACACCTAAATCATTAAAGTCTTATTACTTACTTGCAAATAAAATAATCCAATTTTTTTAGCGTCAACGTGGCTTCCCTCACCCAGTCAGAGATCCGTGACATTATCTTGGGTATGGAGATATCGGCGCCCTCAGCTCAGCGGCAACAGATCGCCGAAATTGAGAAGCAGAGCAAGGAACAGAGCCAACTTACTGCCACCACCACTCGCACTGTCAACAAACATGGAGATGAGATCATCACTTCTACGACCAGCAACTATGAGTCTCAGACATTCAGGTGAGGGAACAATTCTTGAAATATTTTCGTTGGTAAATCGATAAAAGTATGTGCACTATACACACAACCAAGCTTACAGAGATTCGCAGTAAACCAATAATAATATTTCAGCTCAAAGACGGAATGGCGTGTACGTGCTATATCAGCAACGAACTTGCATCTTCGTACGAACCACATCTACGTGAGCTCGGATGACATCAAGGAGAGTGGTTACACTTACATCCTGCCCAAGAACTTGCTCAAGAAATTTGTCACCATCTCTGATTTGAGAGCACAGGTATGATCCATGTGAATGTTAATAACTAGAACGCGTTTCTTTTGATTGTTTTCTAGTAAAATTGTAAAACTTGAGAAATGATGTGAATTGCAATCCTTGACTGTACTCGAAACAGATCGCGTGCTACCTGTACGGCACGTCCCCGGCGGACAACCCGATGGTGCGCGAGGTACAGTGCTGCGTGGTGCCCCCGCAGTGGGGCACGCACCAGGCCGTGCACCTGCCGCGCCACCTGCCCAAGCACCCCGCGCTGCAGCATCTGCAGCCCCTCGGCTGGATGCACACGCAGCCCAACGAACTGCCACAACTCTCGCCGCAGGTAAGCCTCATGCTATTCTATAAATTGAAGAAACTATCTCCGGTAAAAATTATATATACAGAATAGTCAAGAATCACTAATGTTTGCTTTATGAGCTGTATTTCATATTCATATTTCGATATTTACAACACCAACTTCTCGTTCACAGGACATTACAACCCACGCAAAGATAATGGCAGAAAACCCCTCTTGGGATGGCGAGAAGACGATCATAATCACCTGTTCGTTTACTCCTGGCTCCTGTTCACTCACGGCATACAAGCTGACGCCTAGCGGTTACGAGTGGGGAGCCCGCAATACCGACCGCGGCAACAACCCCAAGGGTTACCTCCCCAGCCATTATGAACGAGTCCAAATGTTGCTTTCCGATAGATTCTTAGGATACTTCATGGTGCCTTCACAGGGAAGCTGGAATTACAACTTTATGGGTATGTATTTTATATTGTTTTGCTTTGTAATATTTGATGTGTATGTCGACTAGGAATGTACATCAAAATATTAATTAGTTATTTGTACAACATACCGCTCACCAGGCTACACTAGATGCTACTGTAAAACAGAAGTTCTTGTCCATTACCCATCAATTTCTAATTTGCTATCCAACTATAACTGCCAAAGATATTCCAAACCAATCCGTTTTTACCATAATTTAGTACTTAAAAAACGAACACTTAAGATTTTCAGACTTCTAAAACAAATGAACTTTGCCTTCAGGTGTAAGACACGATCCAAATATGAAGTACGGCGTACAGCTCGGCAACCCGCGCGAGTTCTACCACGAGGTGCACCGCCCCGCGCACTTCATGAACTTCGCTGCAATGGAAGACGCAGCCGCACCCACCCTCGCTGCCGATCGGGAAGACCACTTCGCATAGACTTAAAACAGTGTTTAGTATATAAGGGATTCATAGTGTAAATAAGTGAAAAATAAATTTTAATAAATTTGATTTGCTGTTTTATATATTTACCGAATTGACTACATGACAAATAAGTATAAGCGTGTAATGTGTGCACGTGGGACAGGAGGGGAAAGACAAAGGCAATATGCAATCCTTCAGTTATTTAATTAATTTAGAAAATTAAAATTTATGTAAAATATTTAGTTTTTATTCTGTGACAAAAATCATGGCTTGTTGCAGGATGCAATCCCACTCACATGCAGCAAAGGTAAAATGCATATAAACACGTGCAAAAAACTGAAAAACATGCCACGCAATCAAACCTATACTGGACACGTGTTTCGCCCCTCTTCAGGGCATCCTCGGGAGATGTATATAGACTCGACGAGCGCTCGGCTGCGAAATAAATCCTGGATGCCTCTGCCAATTCCTTGGCGGCAGTGGCGGACTTAACCCGCCAGGGACATTGCAGCAAAGCTAAATGGGATCAATAAAAAAAATGCAATGACTGACAACAATACTACCGAAACCTCAGTCGCCAAACTCGCTCAAATAGGTCAAAATCCAAAGGGACGATGTTTCTTTGGAACATCGGGTTGCGTTTCCCGCGCATCCTAAAGTACTATCAGACCATAGATGGTGCAATGATGTACTGCGGCCCGGCCTGAAGCAGGAGAAAGAGTCATTTGATGATTTTTCTCACTCTTAAAAGTACGTTTATTTTAAGTACGGTTCCTGCCGGATGCCAAACTCGTGTTGGGCATAGGGCATTGCTGATGATGCCATATTGAGTGGTTGTCGGCATTCGGCGCGGTACCTGAGCCTGGAGCCCATTTCTCTTCATTAACCCCAATGTGCGCCGCCGCAATATGGGATTACGTGTAGTAGTCTGCGGAGGCTCGAATTCGTGTCCACCAATGGTGTAGCGAGCGCGTTTTCAACGCCACTTTCCAACTTGAGTTACCTATAATTTTAAGCCCTTTGATTGTTTGTTTTCTTATTTTTCTTTCTCACAAAAAAGTCTGGCAAGCATCGACTTAAGTGGGCTACGAGAAGTTTCCAAATTATGGGATATATTGCAATTTGTAAGTAATTTTGATTTTTACTACAAATAATGGTAATTTTTCTATTTTAAATTTTAATTTTCCTCGGCAACTCCAGATTTAGTGAACTACAATTTCAGGAAAAATTCTGAACTTTAATGTCACTGTCACGTTTTGAAAACGAAAACTTTTTTAACTGTCAATGTCTGTTATCAAAACTTCAAAAGTATTGAACAAACAAGTTTATTCCTGTTGAATTTCGTTCTGTACTTTACTTTATAACTTATTATTTTTATTATTTAAACAACCTAGAACACTAACACAATGGCAGACCACGACGATTATGAAGATAACCAATATCCTGACAACGACGAGTTTGTGCCGTACGTGACTGCCGGTAATCTGGGCAAAAATGGCGCGAAAGTCACGTTGTGGGGTAAAGTGACCAAAGTTACTGCTAGTGAAGGATTCTATGTGAAAACGGTAGACGATCAAGAAGTTCTTATCAAATTAAAGCATCCACTGAATGAACCTTTAGAAGGCTGGTACGAGATATACGGCGTTGTTCATGGCAAGACAGTGATGTGTGATGAATATGTTCCATTCAATGAAGAAATGACAAAGAACATCGACATCGAGGGTCATAAAGCGTTGGCGAGGTTGCTAGTGGCTTTAGACGAACCTTGGAAGTTGGGTAACGACCAAGATTCAATGACAGGTGTTGTACCCATGGAATGAAACTACCGGATATTGATAGAAGTTATATTTCAATTGTCCTCTAACCAGAGTTAATTTGTAATACAGTATTGTAAATTTTGTTTTAGTAGACACATTCCAATATTGTTTTACAATACATCACTATACTAAATGAACTGTAAGTAAAATTAAAAAGAATTTCTGCGCATGCTATCAGTAAGTTTGTAATTGTGTAATCTAATGTTAATTGTCAGAGTTGCATTCAGTTGAAACACCACTTTTTAACATGGTAAAAAATACTTCAGTTACATCTGCTTAAGTTGGTTCTTTACTTTCCTTTGATATAAGAAAGAAGACTTAAAATGTTAAAGCTATATGATTGTACCTGCCTGTTCTGTAAGTTACTTTGAAGCCAATGTAATTGGTATATTGTTAATTTTCTTAACATAGATCAGACCATCTGTCTATTTTGTATTGTGTCTCATGTACATGGCAGACATGTTTAAATACTGAAGCTTTACATAATATAAGTTATTTTTTATAATCATGTCTTATTATTTTATTAATAACCATTTCTAGGTAGTTATAAAAATTCGTCATTTTTACAAGTTCCAAGTGCCGTAATTTATTCGAAAGTTGTAATGTAAAATTAACTTTTTAAGGAGATATAATATGATTTACAAACATAAATAAAATAGGACATGCTTCTTATTTGTTTATTCATACTTCACTTATTTTTAATTGACACAATATTTGGCTTAAATATTAATTTTAAAAGCAATGTGATAGATACTTAAGTAAAATAAAACATATATTCAAAATTACATTTATTTAACACATATTTAAACTGGAAAGAAAAATCATTAGAAATAAATAATTTCTAAAAAGCATATTTAATATATGTAAAAGATATTACTCATATTTTACATTAGCAAAAATATGCACCTATAAACTTATATATTATCAATCATGATCATCATATTGCAAGGTAAAACTCTCACAACTGAAGTGTTTCCAAATATTATTTCTATTTTTGATGGCAACTCATTATTATACATAATAGTATCAAAGCGGGACTTTAGATTATTTCGTACTACGCAGATTGCATCCAGCACTGCACCCGAGGATAGGCTCTGATGTTGTTGTCCTTGTTGCGTCGTGCCACGTTGCGCATGCGCACCTCGTGTTGCACGGCATTCGATAGAGCACCCTCAATGCAAGTTACTGGACGATTCCTACAAACAGATAAGATAGTTATTGTGTCGTCTTGTTGCTTAACTAACGCAGACTATATGGTAGTTTCCAACTAGTCAAATGCAATACTTTTATCCAAATGACAAAAACGATTCTTTTCTATGAACTTTGTATGAAAAACTGAGTTATGATGTCATAGTATTTTTGCTTTATGATGTTAAAGTATGTATAGTACCTAAGCTATTTTTCAATATTTGTATTGTAAGTATTGAAACGTCGAATTTTTATTTTTCACCAAGGAAACTACCCAATTGGAGTATAACCAAGGCTGCAAGTCCCGATAGTCATATTATTGTCATCAAGTTACTTCTCTGGCCCTGGGTGGAGCCATGAGAGGAAAACATGGAGATCATCCCTCTTCTTTGTGGAAGAAGCCCATAGTCTAGCAGCAGCAGTGAACTCGGACTCTGATAGGTTGTTGATTATTATTTTAATGGGTTTCTTAAATAGGTAGGTGCACGAAGGCGAATAAGATACGTACGCCTTGATGTTTATCTTCGGCACGTCCGTCCTGATCTTCATACTTAAGGGCCTGTCTTTGCCCTTAAGCGCCAAGTCCGTAAGGTACCTCTTGATGTAGTTCTTCAACTGAATATTTTCCCTCATCAGTTTCGCTTTCTCGGTCCTTAGACATATTGTTTGCACCTTGGCTCTGTTCACTTTGAGAAGGAATTTGTCCATTTTGCGATATTCCTTGCATTCGTCCTTAAGAAGAGATTTGAAATATAATTAATTTAGATTTTGAATTTATGGTCGGTGCCGGAAGTTACAATTCAAAGAAATAGGGTAACTAATTTGAATTGACTAAAAAGGTCCTATCTGTATGTAAGTATGTAGGTAGGTAGGTACCTTTGTATGTTTGTCCGCAATTATTAACTAATTTCAGAGGTTTTAGGTATAGTCGAGTAGGTAGGTATATTCCTATATATTAAGGTACTATTTTTAACTTTTTTCTTTCTGTTATGTAGGTATTATTTAAGAGGGAGTCTATTGCCATTCACATACCCGGAATTGATGCCATAGTTAATTTTTTTAAGAACTTATTTTATGCATTTTTGTCACATATTAAAACTATAACAAACGAAATTGTATTAAATAATATATATACTTCTAGCTGAGATTTTTTTTATTTAAAGATTCACTATGGTGCTGTTTTTTTCTTCTCCATTCGAATTCCAAAATCTGGGTCCTTAACTTTCAATAAACAGAGTAAAGCCTCTAGATGAATTGAACTCTAGGCACCTTGCTTGGCAGTTACACTTACCACACGACCGATGAGGACATCTAAGTTCGAACCTAACTAGGTACTTACAATCATATCCTTATCCAGATGTTCAAAGTCCAGAGAGTCCAGATCGTACTCTACATCTTTGGAGAGCTCGTCTCCTTCATGTTCATATTTACTGCAGATTTCTGATAGCTGCATTACTTTATTCAGTTTTTCATACATATCTTCAAGATGCTGAAAAAGTTGCATTTTTATCTACTTATACTAATATTATAAAGAGGTCAAATTCGTAAGTTTGTATGTAGGGGGTTATCTTTGGAACCAAAGGTCAGATTTCCAAAATTCTTTCACTGATAGATAGCTGCTATGTTCCTGAGTGCTATAGGCTAGAAAACATCACGCTACGATTAAATGGAGCTGAGCAGCGGGTGATACGCCGCAAATGAGCACGAATTACCCGATGGTGAGCAATCGATACCGCCCTTGGAAACCTTGGAATCAAGAATCGGATGAATGATTTAGGGGAGGGATGAGAATAGTTCATATTTAGCAATAGGTAGGTAGATACAACTATTAAGGGGAAGGCGGTTTAATTTGCTGTATGTGTATATAATTCTAAGTTTGTTATGTAACTACAGTACAACAAACACAGTGACGAAACTGACTAATTTTATGTTTGGCTTAAGCGGAATAAGCGTGGTGATCAATGCTTATAGCTTCTTTATAGGAGAAGAGTCTTTGATCAAAAATATCAGTTTTCAAACTTCTAAACGGACTGCCAAACCTTGATCGCATCCTGGCTGGCATTCACCATGATATCGAGCTGCTGGCTTCCCTTACTGCTCTCAAGCTTGGAGTCTTTCTTCATCTGCAAATATTTTCTTGTTAGTTCTTCCTTACGATTGGCCATACGCGTCAACTTATCTGTCATCGTACTAGTTGTTTTTTGCCATTCATGTTGCAAGTTTGATAGGGTCTCCTGAAAATTCATAAACTTTATATAGGTATACCCGCAGAATGTGGTATATAATAATAGTAGGTCTATGGCGTACAAGGTGTTGTGATATATGCATCTATTTAATTACATAAACCACCAACATATGGTGAAGGAGAACATCGTGAGGAAACCTGAATTTATAATTTCTTATAAGTTTGAAAGCGCCAATCCGCCTTGAGAAAGCATGGTGAATAATGCTCAAACTTTCTCCGTGTGAGAAGAGGTCTTTGCTCAGCAGTGGACACTTACGGGCTGATGATGATGATGATTCTATGGATGCCACGAAGTATTCAAATAGGTACTTTTCTTAGTCGTCTAATTTTGCACAAGGAAGAAATTGTTAATTGACACTAGGTACCTAAAGAAGGTACCTAAATAAGTACCTATCACATTCTCTACCACAATTTCAATTAGTAAAATGTGAAGATGTCGATGCTTACACAAGCTAGTTGTATTTGGTAGTCGTTCCTTGCGATTTCCTTTTGATAGAAGTCGTCCTTCTCACGTAAGCTATGGTAGTGGCTCATGATGGGGTTGTGTTCCTCCTGGTACGAGTTGTACACCTCACGGAGTTTGCCCCAGTACATCTCTATCGCCAACTGCTTAGGAGCGCAAAAACTTCGCAGTTCTTCTTCGTGCTGTAATGTTTAAAATAAAATTATTATTCATTTAAGTAATATAGGTGGGTACATTGTCAGAATTGCATTGTATTTGCTGACACAATGAGCAAACACACACTTAATTAGGTACTAAGATTCGGAGATTAACTTCATCAGAAAATACTCAATATCTTAATTGCTTTACCATAAGTTCATATACTTAAAGGTGGTTCCTTACACTTTGTGTGAGATCAATGACAACCCTGTAGGGTAGGGCATAGTAAAATAGGATCGCAGGTAAAATTTGTAAAATTGATACAAGTTTTTTATTTTTATTTTTTTGTGAGGAGAAAGTCATCAAATGACTTCTCCCGCCCAGGGCCGGGCGGGAGGGAGTGTCAGACTCTTACTGACTAAAAACCCCCCCGTTCCTTCTCCTGCTCTGGGCTGAGGTCGCGGTGCCTCATTGTGCTTACCCCGCAACCCCGGCTGAATTGATATAGGTTGACATAGTCTTTGCAGCAAGAAAACTTCTGCAATTTTTTATATCGTATTGCGTGGATATTAATAGCGTAGGTACATGGTACAAACACAATCACTTAGAGGAAGTTTATAGTAAGTAGATATTCTGATTTTGATGTTTTCATGATTTTCTACGGGTAATCAAATGAAGCGTACAAATCGTGTTTTGCTATGTTAATCAAAACAAAGTTCCGACCTTGGGAAAAATGATGTATCAATTAATCGCGGCAGAGGTGTCAAAGCACAGGAAATTGGAATCATCCATGGACATATGTACATATTTGGACCGTGAAATCTATTGAATTAGGGACCTCGGCTACATCAACAGGTACCTATCTACCCGTACCTACTACAAGAAAAACTATCATAACACATGATAAAGTATGTCATTTTTTTTGTGTCACTACAAAATATTTCGTTCGTTTTGTGACACCTTAAAGTGCTGTCCATTTAACTTAATTCTCGTATATTTAATGTTTTGATGTAAGAAGAAAGAAAGAAAAAGTATTTATTCGAGTCTAGGACGCACATAAGACACAAAATAAAACAAGTGTATAAAAGTGAAACAAAAAAAAAACATGGTTATACAATATAAAAAAGAGTAAGTAATTTAAAAAAATAAGGTAATATAAGAAGAAACAATGTAACAGCTACTGGTTGTCTGTATAAGTGTAAATAAATAAACAATCTTTTAAGATTATTAGGCATGGCGTTATTAGGAATCAATCAATAATTCATGTAGGTAGATATATAGGTATTTCAGATACCTACTCAAGCCTGGTCCACCTACCTACTGACACCTAAGCGAGATTATACCTAACTAGCTACTATCGCGCAGTTTCACCCGCTGCTCGGTTCCATATAATCGTGGCGTGATGTTTAATGGCCTATAGCACTCAGGAACATTGTAGCTAGGAACATTCTATCAGTGAAAGAATTTTGGCAATCTGACCAGCGGTTCCAAAGATTACCCCCTACATACAAACTTACAAATTTTACCTCTTTTTAATATAAGTATAGATATAAATAGCTTCAAGATACAATATTAAACAAGACAACTAAATAGTCATGATTTATATTCCTGGGCATCAAAACAAGCATTTATTTCAGATATACTTGTTACACTAAGTACTGAATACGCAATTTCCAATTGGCCACATGGTTTCCTGTAATTACGGTCCCTGATCCCAACATCCGACCGTGCAGACTGACAGACTGACAGCCGTGACTGATGAATGATGAGCACTGTTTTATATGATGCTAGATTAGTATGCGCGATGAAATATGGAGATTTGAAGAATAATCGTTGTGTTCATCACTGAATATCATCGTGGAGTCTTTTTCTTGAAGGAATGGCAACTGTATGCGTGTATATACTTAGTTTTGACCAATTATGATATTATTGGATTGAATTCCTCTTCACCTGTAAGAGTTGACTCAATTAGAATTTATTTAAAGAACTGATTATGTCCTCGGAAAACTTTTATATGAAGCGAGAATTTCTAAGTCATATATTTATATCAGTTTACTAGTGTTTACTAGAGTTGGATCTGTTTACCAGTGTTGGATCGCTAGGTATTACATAATTAATGCTTTCAAATATAGGTTTAGTGTCCTCAATTCTTCGAGAGGAACCTTAAAAATCCCAAAAATGTGATCGATTCAATGCATTAAGGACATCACATGTCACGAAACAATTAGTCATATTTGGATGGGGCTTGTCACCTTTTGTGTCTGTGGGAAGTGATGCGTGGAAGCCGTTATCATAAATATGGTGTACCATGACTACTGGTGACACTGTTAGAGTTTGCGCCGCTGTGATCATGTGCCCCATCAAGTACCATGTGCTGGTACTCTGTTTGATACTTGTAGGGAGTTATGTAAGTCGATTTACGTTTTATTTAAATAGACTGATTGTACCTACTGATAGGCGTCTACAGAAAGGCGATAAAATTGATAATTTTGAATATTAAATCAGGAACATTAAATTCAACGTTTCCAGCAAAAGCATAGGTAACAATAACATTTTTCCTTGAGAATGTTTATAGCAAATTTTATTTATACAGGCTTTAAATTGTCGATCAAACGGAGGCCCTAAAGAGGCAGAACTGAAAAATATTTATAAAAAATGTCTGAAGATGCAAGAAGGAAAGAATTCGAGCAAAGGAAACTCAGCACAAGACTGGAAGGAACCACGCGTTCAAATACAAAGAAATGATTGGGAACGAGGTCGTGTGGGAAGTAAAGAAAACAAGAACAGTAGAGATGATAGTAGAATGGGTAGTAAAGATAAGAAAGGGGATGGTGGTATGAGGGATAGCAGAAATGACATGATGGGCCGAAGAGATGACATGATGACCAGGGGAGATGATAGAAATGATGATAGGAAACATAGAACTGACGACAGAATGGGTGGTAGCAACGACAGATCAGGGAACAGAGGTAGAATGGGCAACAAAAATAATAGGAACGACATGAATGGAGGGCGTGATGAAAGATTTGGAAGGGAGGACTATTTCAATGGAAGAGAAGACTTTCCACAAAGTGACGAATATGGAAGTGTAAGTAATTTCTTTTTGCTTTTTATTTACAGTTTACAAATTTTTGGTGCAGAAAAACATAGTGATAAAATGCCTATATTTATTTGAAATTCATCTTTTTTATAATAGTTTACTGTCCAGGAGCTGTATCAACACACTTTCTACCTTAAAATTTGGTTTTACCAGGACTTAGGTCAATACAACAACAACTACTACTCCACAACACAGGCCTCCAGGAGGTACAAAAGGGAACGACGTCCTAGTAACTCGGGACAAAGGAGTCAGTACAATCCAAATAGCCACAAAATCTCAGGATATGAAGATAATTTCCGTTCAGATGAGAGAAACACTACGGAAAATAATTCTAGCAAAGAGACAGACAATAAATCTTGTGCTTTACACTGCTTCTTGGAGAATCTGGAGATGGTAAGTATTAGCTAAGTATATACTAAAGTAGATAAGACAATCAATAGAGATGATATTAACATGGACGAAGCATTATATTTTTCTAAATCTTAACACCGGAACTTTAGTTTTTGGGTACCTACATTTATTAAGAGACATAGACGAATGGATTTCGAAATGAAATTGTTAGTGCATTTTTGGATTTTGTTGCCTTTCGTGCACGTCGATTCTATAAAATTTGTTTGTATTTGAATCTTGTTCGAGTGTGAAGTGAGTGTCGAAGTGACGGGGAAATTAAATTTTAGTTCACTTTTAACGTCATCTCATACTTTATGTTGCTGTCAATTTAGTTCGACTCGCAAGTGTAGCGCTAGTGTACTACTACTCACAGCGGATTCAGATTCGAAGTTTAGAATGAAGTCTTACAGAATCACACTGCTGTACAAGTTTAATGATACTAAAAAGCTTTTATTTACTTACGCAATAAATGAACTGAAATTGCTAGTTAAAATTCTCCCATGCTAATTAATTTTGATTAGTTCAACGAGCCACGCAGCTGTTGAGATTAATTTCTTAATTCCCTCTTAGACAGGGGAGGACGGTATGCCGGACAGATATCTGGTGACTCATGCCATCACGAAAGATGTAAAGAATGAAGACCTGAGGGATTTCCTCCAGGAGTCCATTGAAGAGTGCTTCCAGATCCTGGATAATGGTATGTATTTAAAAATCTTTAATGAGCGTTCATGACGATCTTTTGCAAAAGTACCTCAGTGAATTGAGCCTAAATTAACTATGATAGGAAAAAGAATCTAAACATTCCCAGGGATTAGTGTTTACCAAATGATTTAATTGATCAAACCCCAAGCGAACGCCGACTTTCGCGCATCTATTGTTCTTCTATTGTGCCTCGAATTGCCACGATTGTAAGGTTAATATTATAGATGAATTTTATGTGTTTTTATTTGTATGCTACGAGTAAACCGATCGTTTTACCTTCATCACATTATCGCAAAATGAAAACGTCGCACAAAATTTGTTTCAGAAAACACAGAAGACAAATGCGAATTTTCGAAGAACTTGCTGATTTGTCTGTCGGAGAAGGGGAGAGCCAACTGTGACGATTGGAAGGATGACCTGACGTTTTAATAATAAGTCTTTTACTAACTCTTTGTGATGAACCTATACCTAATCAACGTATTTTGCTATAATCAACTTTATATTATTGTTAATAAATGCTATAACAGCTCATGTGTTTTTTATTGTCTCCAATTGTAACATAAATAATTGGTTCAACGATCAAGTGGGTCCTAAATGCAGCTGTCAAGCCCAAAGGTCTACATAAAATACAAATACACGCAAGCTGATTGGAAAAGTCCTGATCATGATTAATCAGTCCCTTAAATTATATTGGCATTAAACGTAATTGGTGAAATAACACTTGGGTCATAAGTGGTCGTAAGGGAGGGTCAGATTATTACTGACTAAAATCTGCCTGGTTCCTTCTCTTGCTCTAAGTCGCGATGCGGTGTTGGGCTAACAACCTTGACTAGACTCACAGGAATTAAGTCATGAATCAAATATTAGTTTTTCTCTTACCTCAAGCCTGGCATCATTCTTTTCCGTAGCCCGTTGCGTCTCAATGTCCTTTCTTAACATCTGGAAATCCCTATCCTGGATATACATGATCAGCTTCAGCTTGAACTCGGCCCGGTCCTGGCAGTCTATCAGTTCCATCTCCTCTTTATCCCAATTTTCCAGAAGGTTGTTTTTCTGATGATCGTATTCTGCTTGCAGCTTGTCAAGGCGCTGAGTGCCTATGTCTGTAATAAAAGTTAACAGTATTTAGTAGTATATATAACCTTCATTAGTGAAGTGTTTGTTAGTTACCACAAGTGTTCTGTAGGTTGTTATAATTTTTTGGAACTCGTTTACTAAGTTTCGTCAAAATCGGGTTGGTAGTTTCCAGGACTTTCGTCTTGAAAGATTGTTTTGAAACTCGTGCTACGTTAACACTCATTAGAGGCTCAAGATGAGATGATACTATTATGTAATTTTGGGCTTTAAGTGCAGAATTTTGAATTCTAGACTATGTGCAATTAGAGTATATTTTAAAATAGATTGAAGAATGATGACGTATCCTTCAAAATATTAGGGGATACCATACCTCTACAATTTTTTTTAAGAGACGAAGTATTGTTGCTTTATAAAACAATCTTAACCGAGATGTTACTTTTTAGCTAATATGAATGTATACATAGTATGCTAATAGTACCTATACATGGTATACTAATATAATAAACCTGTGAAGTTTGTGTGTACACGTTAGTCTCTGGAACTACTGGTTGAATTGAATAATTGTTTTTGTGTTCGTTTGTCCGTTTATCGAGGAAGGCTATAAAAGAACACGCTATGACCAAATGGAACAGCGGGTATAACCGTGCAGTGTAGCTAGTTATTAATAAAAGTCTAATATCACATCTATTAACTCATATCTAATCATTATAGTTTAATATTTCGTCAAAAGAAAGAAAGGATCTAACAACGTAATTAAAGATAGAAAAAATTTAATGTTCAGCCATTAGAAACAAGGCGCATATTTTTCGACTTGGTTTATCTTTATAATATTACCCACGCTATTATAGATTCCCCTGAATTACTCTCACACATAAGTTTTAACATTAAATTTGGTGCCCGTAGATCAAAAGAAATTAATCTCTTCGCTTTACAAATTTACAAAAACAATATATCTTTCTATAACCCTTTGACCAGGATGGCTCGTCAATATAATGAAATGGCAAAGAGCAATCACAAACTTTTTGACATATTTAATTACAGCATTAATAAATTCATCTCAGATATAAAAGGCATTCTCCATTGTCGATTTGGTGTGGATTCTTCAGGCCCGGAAATCTGTGCTTGAAGGATCTTAATTAACCCATATTTTTGTTGAGAGGCACCAGTGTTGATACACGTCACTTTATGTTTTCTAGTTTCTACTTCTTGTTTGTTTTGTCCCTTTTTGAGCTTTTTTAATATTCAATACTTGTGATTTTGCAGTATGCACATATTGTTACGATACTATCTAGATAAAAACTTTAGTTTCTAAGCTAATAATATTTGATTGTAATGTGTTTTGTGCATGAAATAAATAAATAAAATAAAATAAAGAAAATAAAAGGACGATCCCTTACTAAGGAAATAGCTGACATTTTCAGTGTGTGCTTGGAAAGCTCTTCGATGTTGCTCATCTGAATCGTCTGTGGCCTTCACCAAGGTCTTTATCAAGCGGTCTTTACGCTCCACTAGGAAGTTGAAACTGATCAGCATGTTCTAGAAACAATAATAGACTTAGAGTACTTAGAATGAAGGTTTGATTTATCCTAACATAAAGTAAAAAGCCTTTTGGAAAACGGTTTTATGAAAATTTAAAGTAAAAATGGAATAAAATTAAGTATTGCACCATAGTAAAAATAACATTTAAAGCTCAATATATTCAAAGAAAAGCTACGAGGTTACTAAAAGTTACCTTATTCATTTTTGATGCCGGCAAACTATACCCGCAGCTCAGAATCAAGGCTCAGAATACAGAAACCCGCAGTTCCAAAAGAGCTCAAATATTTGCAATCGGATAAAATTATATAAATTAACGAAACTAGAAACAGATACAAAAATACGAATCAACAAGACTAACAAAATTTGAAATATCTAGAACGAAACGAACGAACAAGCTCAGTGATCCGCTTTTTTCATGTCCGCTCACAATTATCTTTAAAAAATAATACCACTAAATCACACAACAACAAAAAATACAGTCACGATATAATATACCACAAAAATCCCTTTCCAAAGACGATTAATATAATCTTATTTAAATTCTTACCTGGATATCCAAAGCCATTTGTTTGCATTTTATTTTCCGCAAAATAAATCTCCATTGCTGGTTTATTTTCGCTGTATTCAAACGACTGTAGGCTTCTTCCTTGTCTAATTTATTCTGTGAACACGCAAATAAATATTTTACAAATAAATAATTGTGTTGTTTCACTGTCGAGGGGAGCTAAGTGATAAAATGAAATGTTGAAATGCTTTCGATAAGCGCTTTGTAGATCATTTTTGTACCCTTAATAGGAGGTACAAGGAATGTGCCAGAGCCTTGTTATGACACGAATGGGACGGTATAACTAATACTTCAAATCAGGTTCAAATCCTGAATTTGGGAGAGTAGCCCTTTTTCTTAAATCCTCAACTCCCTAACAACCTGCAAAAGACCGCGAGCAAAGGTACTTGTAGCTTCCTTAGTATTTGGATAGTGTCCATCGGTAGCGCTGATAGCTTACCATCAGGTGATCTGGCTGGTCATTTGCCGACCTATTCCATAAAAAAATATATTTTATCCTTACACAAACTTCGCTCTCGTGGCCATTGAAAGAAATTGCCTATTTTGCTACTCTCCAACCTCCTAATTTTCTCCAGACGCAAGAATCATCATCATAAATGCCAGGCAAAGTGACCTAATTTTGTAATTTCGTGGAGTTTTTACTCCTACCCGTCCCCTGGAGATCTTCGGATGAAGATCGTTTTTTTTTGTTAGATTACCTAGTTGTGTAGAGTTTCTTTGAAAATTGGAGATCAGCATAGAGATTTCGGATAAGATAAGCAGCCGCGAAATCGTTAGGAGAATAGAATGAAATTGAATATGACCTTTATGAATCTGTGAATAAGTTCTTGTTTCCTTCGGCGAGCCTCTTCCTCCATGTCAGCTCGATGTTGAAGATACCTCGCCCTTTCCTCATCTGACATTTTCGCCAACTTGTTCACTTTGCCTTTCTTCCCCATTTTGAATGTTTAGTGGTTTGCTAAAAAAGAAACTTCATAATTGTGTTTTCGTATTCGATACACGGGGCAAGTATTAAGAGGTTTTCAGAAAAAATACAATTATTATGTACCTAATTATTTATATTTTCTTCAAACAAAACAGTCTGAACGGCGGACTTAATGCGTTAAGGCATTCTCTAACCGTCAACCATAGGGTAGTGCAGAGAAATCAAGCGATTGGTTCGAAGCAAGCAAGGACGAAACATAAATTAGGTATGCTAATAATTATTAGTTTTTTTAATTCATCGCAGCCGCAGCGTGGAGTTATGCCTGCTCAAGGTATAGAGGACTGTACTATTATTGGCATACAATTGGCTGGATAACCGGCTGCTGGGCAGTACGATAAGTATAAGTTCGATCCGGACGGAACATTGTGTGGTCTACAAATTATAGAATCGGGTCTGGGTGTGATATGTATGTGAAATTGTTTGTTTGTAAACACACCTACGACACTAGGGTAAATGCGAATACAAAAAAAATCTTTAAAAAAAGCAGCATACCCCTTATTAAGTAACAAGGCTACACTATATATGTGTCAATTCCTTCAGGTATTAAAAGTTTGTGACGTCATATGCATATTTGAAAAACATGTAAATGGTCATTCAAATTGAAATTCTCTTACCTTTTTTAAATGTATGTAAAGAAAAAAGTGTTAAAACACAGGCACTAGCACTAGTATGTAAATATTCCTAGGCACTGTGTATAGTTATTGAACTAACTAGATGTAGGTAACGCGGCAACATAACATTAATATTATTGATTAATTAAATATTCCTAACAACCGTGTTAAGCGTAACCTTGGTGGCACGTCTCAATGCATTTTGTTTTCCATAGTGTTTAAAACAGCGTTAATTCAGAATTAAATTTATCGATAAATATACATTATTTATTATGAATATATATACTTATATATTAATGTATATTAAATCTTATTTTAGGAAATTAATATGTATAGTAAAAAGAATTGGTAACGATGTATTTAATTCAATTTTTTTTGGATAGGATACAAATAAATAATTCAACCAGGTTCAATTCTAAATTTAATTGCATGAAATAGACAGCATTTGTATATATAAAATTAGTAGTGAGTACAATTAGAAGAATTAGCTATAAGTAACAAAATTATTTAAAAACAAGCAATAACAATCGATAAATTCGAAAAATGTGAAATGCTTCTCTTACCCAACAATTAAATGTTTCAAAATAATGAACGGTATAGCGTGCAGAATATTTCTTCTATTATACTCTTCTTAATTACCAGTATAACTTAACCTTATCAAAAAAATATCTATGCAACAAGTGTGTACACAAAAAAAAAAACAGTCCACCAAGGTCAGACAATAAATAAAGAAAAATAAACTCTATAGTAACCGTTGCTATGGATACCAAACATGACCAAGCTCCTATACCTACTTATTTACTTTGACTAGAATTTATTAAAAGCTGTCATTGAGGAGCAGTGTCGAAAACGGAAATAATAAGTAGAAGGATTTATAAGAAATAATAAAAATGGATCCTTCATCGATGTCGGGGACGTTGCAGTCCACATCCACATACTCAGAGAGCTCAAAGACCAGCAGTAGATCCGGTCAAAGTGCTGAAAAAGAAAGAGAAATGGATCTCACGAAAGATAATGGTGAGTAAAAATGGAATAGCCCCGTTCACCTAGACAGCCAGAGTTGCGAGATAAGCGCAATGAGTCACCGCGACCTCGGCCCAGAGCAGGAGAAAAAACAGGGAGTTTTTAGTCAGTTACAGTCTGACACTCCCAGAAGTCATTTGATGATTTTCCCGTCACAACAAAAAAGACACCGAGAACTAATGACTAAAATAAGAAAAGCCGACTAGCTGAGGCTACGCGCCGTGCTCATAAATAAGTTTATGAACAGCACAATAAGCTACCGGGGCTCCGACCTGGAGCAGAAGAAGGTACAGGGTGGTTTTTAGTCAGTAAGAGTTTAGACTCTTCCCAGTTTAGGCGCTTCCTCGCGCCACACCCTGGCCGAGAGAAGTCATTTGATGGTTTTCTCCCTTCAAAGTTACCTAGTGCTGTGTTTTTTATTATAAGTAGGACTGTAGGACTATTTAGATTGAACAGCAAGAACTTGAGCAAGTATCAAGTATTTTTGTGAAATTGGTCTTTATGGAGTCATAACAAAAGTACGCAGAAGTAATAAAATTATGAATGTTCCAGCTGCTTCACCGATCGACTTGGAATGCCACATTCAATGCGAGCGTATCACGAAGATCCTGGACGACGCTATCTATAAATGCAAGCTGTCCCTTTGTTTACCTGAACTGGTGCAGGATTATCGGATTCTTTATAATTTGCTGACACCTCCTCATATGGATGACCTGACCTTTATCTTCGAACAGTATGATAATCCTTTGTTCTCTGCTAGCCTCATGAATGTGGCTGTTATGGAAGATTTGAAGGCTGTAAGTTATTTTTTATAGCCATTATAGTTTGAACTCAGAGAATCTTTTCTTGGCATTAGAATTTGGAGGCTGTTGATAATATTAGTGTGCGTTCATGCACAAGACCTTTGCTTGGATTATTGGACTGGACAAAATTGGATTTTATGCTTTCCTTTCTATAATAGTGGCGTTAATTATATAACTGACAAGAACTGCGAAAAGGTACTTGGTGGCGAAAATTCCTCTTTCATTGTTGACAATACCATACCTCTTAGTGATTTAAGAGTTTAGACTTTAAATTATATTTGGAAGTTAGAGCTTAGAGTATTTATTTCAATTATAAGTAAGGTACCAGTCCAGGCACTTTTAATTAAAAGTCAGAACAAAAATAAAAACATTTTGCGTCTTTCGGTCTGTCCTCTTGTGAAGGTATTTGCTCGTTCCGTAGATATCTATGAAGAGACCACGCGTAAGACACTCCATAGTTACCCTTTTTAAATCAGTTTCATAATTCTCTTTTTCATTTTCAGGGTGATTTGACACTGAAGAACCGCTTGAATCCAGAGTTGGGGCACGTACTCTACATCATGAACAGCTATCCTGCTCTCCGACCTATAATTGAAGAGATGATTGCCAAGGTATTATTCCCGATTTAGGTTTTTTTATGGGGTAGGACGGCACTCGTTTACTTGATCGGATTACTTGATGGTAAGCAATCAGCGGCGTAGATGGACACCCTCAACAATGAAGGAGTTACGAAGCCGTTGTTGTCCTTTTGGCGATTAGGGATTGGTGAAGGACGGAGAAACGGGGAGGATGGAGCCTCCTGCACCTCACTTACACGACGAAACGCAACACTGTGATTGTTTTACGCTGGTTTTATTTGAGGCCATGGTATCACTCCGGTCGAGCTGACCCGTTCGCGCTTAAATAGAATTTTAAAAGAATAGAATTGAAATAGAATTTTAAAAGTATAGAGTGTAGAATTTTAAAATTTATTGGGTTCTTTTGTATTAAGTGCATAACTGAACTAATCTTTTTATCTCTCAATTCCAGCAAAGAGAAATTCAAGAAAATGACGTAAGTAAACATATGTTATAATTATAAACATTTGATCTAAAATGCCTACTTTTACAATTGTAAATTAACTTTATGTTCCAGAAATCCAAGTTAATGCCAGGTTTTGAATTTCTAATGGAACTTGAACACTTCCGCGATCTCATGGTGAGGCAGATGGAGACGACAGCCGCAGAGGAACTATACGCTAAAATAAGTACTAAGAAGTTGGAAACATCCAATGAAAGACTCGAAGCTCATATAAAAGGTAAAAACGAAAATCTCTTATAATAATCAATCCTTTAACTGTGCAGGTCGTCAGTATTATTAAGTCTAAATACATAGAACTGTTAATAACTGTAGTGTTAATAACTACTAATAATAAGTATGTCTGTTTATCCACATGTATAAATATTGGTCCGGGGCAGGCGCCATTTTTTTTTTTGTGAGGGGAAAATCATCAAATGACTTCTCCCGCCCAGGGCCGGGCAGGAGGGAGTGTCAGACTCTTACTGACTAAAAACCCCCCTGTTCCTTCTCCTGCTCTGTGCCGAGGTCGCGGTACCTCATTGCGCTTACCCCGCAACCCCGGCTGAACATCAGCCCTTTAGGACCCCGTCTGTGGTGGTCGAATGGCTCTTTGAGGCGCGCGCGGAACGCTACGCGCCGTACGCTCGGGCCTGGTTCTGGTCGGGCGGCGAGCTGCCCTTACTCGCCGACCGCAGGCCCGTGCTTACGGTGGCCGGAGATCGTCCCTTCATCCCCGACGCCCGTAGTGTCGCCAGTTGCGGCTGTTGGGGCGTGAGGAGGAGGATTGCTCCCTCACGCGGGCCGCCTCTCTCTTTGCGAGCATGACTGCTTCACAAAAGGAGGAGACGGCGTCCCAGTTCCTCTCACTGCGCACCATGGCCTCGACTAAGGCCGGGCGCGAGAGGTCGCCGCCGCCGATCACTTCCCTGAGGATACGGCGGTGATCAGCTCAGGCAGGGCATACCGCTACCGTATGTTCCACCGTATCCTCTAGGTGGTCCTCACAATGACGACACTCGGGCGTTTCCTCCCGCTGGATCCGAAACAGGAACCTACTGAAGCTGCCGTGCCCGGTAAGCACCTGCGTCAGGCGGAAGGTGAGGACGCCGTGGCGTCTCTCAAGCCACTCCTCAAAGAGGGGTCTTACCGTTGCTATAGTAGCGTGCCCGGCCCTCGGTTGCGACAGTCGCTGCTTCCACTCAACCATGAGATCTCGCCGGAGCTCATTCCGCCACGCACTAATTTGGCGCGGCAGAGGATCCTCGCCCCGGGGGCAGGCGCCATAGTATTTCCATAGTTATATCATATCTACCAGTCCACCTCACCCAATCCCATGTAATTTTCTACCATATTGCTCAATAGCTCGGCATCAACCGGGGATTGTCGTTGAGTGCATGCATAGTGCATAAAGGGATAATTGCCGGCTGATGTCCCGTTTCACAAATATTAAAGTTGTTCAAAGGGCTTCTGCGAGTTGGCTTTGGCCCCTCGTACGCGTTCCAAAGGTCCAAGACCCTGTGGTTCCGTGAATGGAAACGAGCACACATAATAATAATTTTCCATTATTTGGTCGTGAAAGCATTGAGTTAAAAACTACCTATATATCTGTTTATCTACTACCTACTTTTATAACTGCCTATATACCTATATATATGTATATCTGTTTTTTTGATGATATTGTTTTAGATCAACATATTTTATTTTTTAGAATATTCAAATACTCTTAAAGAAGAGACGGAGCGTTTTGAACAAATGATGGCAATGAAGGAGGAGCTGATAAATAAGCTAGAACATGAACTAGTCATACTCAACCAAGAAGCGTCAGTTAAGCTTAAGAAGAAAATGTAAGATATATTTATTAGTTTAGAATTTCGATGTACCTAGACTCATAAAATATTATACATAAATTCTAGCTGAACCGGCAAACGTTATTTTGCCATATAATTGAATGAATTATTGATAACTTAGGGCATGATAATAGCCAGTAGCGGAATCACAGACCTACTGAATATGCATAGATAAAATAAAACTTTGTAAAACTCTGTAAAGCTCTTTTTTCAGTAATCTCACTCTTAGGGCAAAACACAACTCGAACGTAGTTGTTTCACGTCGATCTTCTGTGTCGTCGATGTCGTGGTATAACTTTAGTCCAGTCGGTCTACTCGTATTGAAGCAATGCTCTCCTAAACTTATTATCTAACCAGAACTGAGATTTACTTTTTTAATACCTACTTATCAACCTTAGATTGGATTCAGAGCGTCAAATGGTGCTGGCTACTAGAAGTCATACAGTTAAGAACGAGTTATTGAAAGAAGAAGAGGTGGAAAGCCGAGAAGCTTATGAGCAGTTGTTGAGGCAGCATCTAATTGACGAGAAAAATCAAAGGGCTCGACGGTAATGTAATTTTGCAAACAAACATTCGATTTGCTCATTTGCCTTCAAATTAAGATAAGGGTACATTGATGTAGAAATAAATTCACTAATAAGACTTTAAAAACCCGCGGCGCACCTCAAAAAGACAACAGAGCAACACAGATGGAGCCCAATAGGGCTGATGTTTAGCTAAGTTTGTGGGTCAAGCGCAATATTGCACCGCAGCCTCGGTCTGGAGTAGGTAAACCTGAAACTCCCTCTCGCTACACCCTAGACTGAATATCTACCTAAGTCTTGATGACAACCTCACATCAAAAAAGTAATTAGTGTCTCCTTCGTCTTTGGCGGTAGATTTTACTAAAACCACTGCCATCCCCTTCACATGTACAGCCAGGGTTCAAAAATGCAATTACACTCTTCCAGTTTTAAAATGACTAAAATTTCTTTGTAGTATTCAATAAATTAGATTCTATGCTATAAATTAAAGCAGTCCTCAACCATTGACTATATTAGACAAAGATATTTTGGTCCTTTTAAAATTGGTAGAGTGCAATTGCATTTTTGACCCCTGACTGTACATATTTTTTTATTTTGTAGTATTTTAAATTAAGGGTCTTGAGTTTAACAATTCAAATTTATTCAAACAAAGGTTCAAAGTGGAGACGCAATTATTATCATGGCTACAGAAATATGACCTTGAGATGAGTGATAAGCAAGTGGAACTAGATGAGTTTACGCAGAAACATGAAGAGGAAGTTGAGAAATGTCAGGAGTTAGAGGTATTTAAGTCATAAAGTATACGATAATAACAAAGATCTTTGCCGTAGTGAATCCACTATACACCGGTCAAAATGTAACCAAGTTGTCGAAGACCAAGTCCAAATGGCCAAAATAAAAGTATTCAAAAACAATGAAATAAGAAAAGTATTATATTTAAATATCATAGATCATTAATTCGCAGAAAAGTTCTTAAGCTCCTTTTACCTACCTGTATTTTTCTTTAAAACTATTTCTTTCTAAATTCAAATATTAAATAAAAAATTTAAAAACTTATTATGTTATCAACAGAAACAATTGGCGGAGCAAGACATTGAGTACATCCCGCTGATGGCAGAAAGAGAGGCAGAATACAACCAGGAGATGACGGAGAAGATGAACAAGTTCCTTCTGGACCATGCTGCGAGGGTTATTCAGCATGCTTGGAGAGAAGTGCTGGTCAACAGAGCAGAGAAGAAGAAGGTAGGTTTTAAAATCTTGAATATTAAGATATTTTGCTTTACGTAGTAACATACGTACTTACAAGAAGAAGTTCATTTAATCATGAAGAAAAAGGTGGAAATAATCATTTAAATGTTTTGTTTCACGCAGCTTAAAGGAAAAGCCAAAAAGGGAAAGAAGAAAGCGTAATGAAAGGAACCATACCTTTCATAGTCCTTACCTAATTTTAAAATTTCCTTCAAATCCTCACACCATTTGATTTCATATTGGTTGATTTTTTCCTTTCATTATTGTAGGTTCACGATGAGATTTGGATAAACATAATATTTTTGTTTTTGTCGTACACAAATATTAAGAATCTGACAGAAATGAAAATGTGGTTTGTTCAAAGTTTAATCATGGCCTTTTATATCCCATTAGCAAAATTTCCAATAAAATCCATCCCTATCCTGATTTCCTTCTTCTTACAGCTAAGGAAGATAATAAAGAGAATACAGGCCGCTCAAGTTCCAACGGAATTAATCAAGGGAAAAGGAAAGAAGTAATTTTTAGATTTGTAGAGAATGGGTTTCTGGAAATTATATTGTTATTTTTATATTCGTGGAAATAAAAATCCTTAGAAAGCAAGGAATATATATTTATTTAATTCAATTAAAGCGCTTGCTTAAATTTAGGAATATTTTGGGTTTAGACATAATTTTTTTTATAAGAGTACAAAATGATACTCGAATATGCGTAATCAATAGTGTGCCATTTTTCACAATTAACAATAATTACATTGTACATGAATTCAAACAGCTAATTAGAGTAAGCGATCCGCACTATGTCTTATCCGAATCCGTATCCGTATGCACATACCGATCTAGTAAAATCAGCTATAATTCGGAAAGAAGAAAGAAATCTGATGGCGGATAACGTTAACTACCATAGAAATAGTTCGATGGCTACAAAGGACCATATTTTCAAGGGATCTTATTGGATTCGGATCGGACGTAGTTATTAACTTGATAATATGAAATCTAACGACAATTTGGAGTGATCAAGAACAGCTTGAAATTTAAAGAAGATAGTGCATATACAAGAAACTGATGGATCTCCTTTTGGTCTAACATCCAATATCAAATCCTTACATGATGTAAAATTTCTATTATAGCTTAAAACTAGATGGAATATAATATCGGCAACGCTGCATTTTTGTTTTTAGTTAATTTTATTTATGTATCAGATCATAATTTCTCTTCATCATCGAGGATCTTGAGATGTCGTATGGCTCGGACGTCAATGAGCGTGTCGGAAGAACTTTTGGTGGTTGGGACGAACGATAACGCACGGCGGGCTCTCTCTCCGTTTCGAAGTACTGGGTTGATATCCTGAGAAAACATAATTATAACTTACATGTAAGAAGTAACTGCATAATAAACTGGATATTTTTCTTTTGACGTGACAATTCATTGTTCCAAGAATACTACAAATACAAAAATTACATGTTAGCCTGGAGGTTTCAAAATCTGACAATACCAATGAGACTTTTCTAAGTTATTGCTTTCTAATAGTATTTGGCTCCATTGATGAAGTGAAGGAAAACATCGTGAGGTAATTGTAAGTATAGTAAATAATGCTCATGGAGAAGCCATGTGAGAGGAAGCTTTTGATCAGCAGTGCCGACTGCTGATCAAATGCCAGGATGATGATGTCCTCCTAAATGATGATGATGTCTGAATGCTTACAGTATTACCTATAGTCCCACTCTTTTGCCGTAACATCAGATACCTTTTATTTTCTTGTAGGGTCTTGTATATATCTCTATCCCACAAAGAAGCTTATAGCTATTTAAGATATAAAATTCAATTATGGACAATGGCTTCTCGAATATTCTTATAAGTTTTATACTCACTCTCAGTTGTACTTGCAAAGCTTGTGCCGTGTATTCAGTCTTGGATATTTTATCTTGAGCTGCTTTCAGTTCAGCATCAAGCCGCCGTTTCTCTTCTTCTAGCTCCTTTAGACGTTTTTCAGCTTCTATAAATATTTCAAGAGATAATCTCCGATTAATTTTATCTCTTTGAAACCTCAATTTGCATAATTATTGACTACCCGGATAATAAAGTAGAATGTCTACCTTTAAATTGTGTTTCTTTCTCAGCCTGTAATTTTTCAAACTGCTGTCGTTTCAATCTTTCTTCTTCTAGCATTTTATTTTGTTCTTCTTGTAGTCTTTCTAGTTCTTCACGTCTCTCCCATTCTTCAGCTAATACTCTGAAATGTTAATTTTGTTATCAGCTTCTAAGTTCCTTATACATGGATCGTTTAATGTATAATGTTTGATTATTTAGTTACTTACCTAGCTTGTAATGCTCTAACGATTTCTTCGTCTCTTTTAGCTTGTGTTTCCTCTTGTAAAAGCTTCTCAAGTTCAACTTGTGCACTTTTCAGTTCTTCTAATTTCTTATTGTCCTGTTGTGCTAATTCTACCAATTCCTGAGGGATAAGGTTATTTATTATTTATATTGAATATATATTTTAAACACTAGAAATATGTTTTTATATAATTGGCAGCGGAAACCTTGTCTAAGTTATACCGGTGCCTTCAGTTCTTGGGACACAAACTATTAGGTAGATCATTTTAAGGTCACATATTTCTTGTCATTATAATGTATGAAATGAAATAAAGTTTGTATAAGCGTCGTGTGGCTTGGGTACGAAACCTGGCAAATACCAATGTGATTTTTCACACACGATTGACATACGGTAAAGGAAAACATTGTGAGAAAACCTGGACTGTATAATTCCCGTTTGATTCTCGCATCACTAATCCGCTCTGAGCAAGCGTGTTGATTAATTTTCAAACCTTCTCCGTGTAAGAAGAGACTTTTGCTCAGTTGTGTGCATTTATGGGCTGATGAAGATGATGAATTTTATGACGATGATGGTGATGCAAATTTTGATGTTTATGACGATGATGATGATAATAACGCTGATGATGACGATGATGGTGATGATAATGACGATGATGATGCCGATGATAATGATGATTGACGATGATGATGGTGATGATCATGATGATTGACGATTATTGTGATGATAGTGATGGTGATGACGATGATGAAGATGATGGTGATGATAATGATGATGACGATTACGATGATGATGATGTGAATGCATCTACGATATAAGACAAAATCTTTGTGTGTAGTTAATGCGCATTGCAAATTGTTTTCATACCTGTGCCTGTGCCTCAGCAGCGAGTCTTGCTTTGACCTCATGCTGCAGCCGAGCTCGTGTCTCCCTCACTTCTCGCTCCCGCCTCGCTCCAGCACCTCGCCTTATCGCTCGAGCTCTACGTTGATAGCCTTCTACACCACCTGACACTGCCGCTGCTTGGCGCAAAGCTGATATCCATTGTAGACGACTCCTTTAGAATTGCGAAAAAGTTCATAAGTTAATAAGAAATTGAATCTATAAACTATTCATATACCTATGTTTAGAACTAGTCGCTAATCTTACAATGAAAAGGTTTTGTACTCCGTCGATTTTTTATGTTATAGGACGGCAAACTAGCATACGGATTACCTGATTGTAAGCAGACATCGCTATGAGGAATTACGAGTGCGTTACGTGTACGAAAGTCGGCACCTTTTAGGGATTGTGTCACGTGACTGTGATTGTTTCACGCCGGTTGTGGGTGATGTGGTTTCACTCCTGAGTTGATGAGAGATTAATAATAAAGCTTCCGATGTAAAATGTTTAGAAGGAGATACTAAACACTACTCACTTATGGTCTTGAGTGCCAAATTCAAATGTTCTATCAGGTGTGATGAGCTGGAACCTCTGTATCTTGCCTTCCCCGGCAGCTGCCTCTACTGAGCAGTACTCATCGATGGCCACTCGGCCACACTGCTCCTTCTGAGACGAGCTCTTGTAGTAGGTAAGAGCACAAGGCTGAAGGACGCACCAGTATTCCCGCATGGTAGGCAGAAGATAACCACGCTTGAATAGATAACCCTGGAATAGCGGAAATTAAGGACATGATTAAAAAAAAAGGAGAAGAAATTCTGTCGTAAATAAATGGTTTGGTTGACTGACAAGAGATGTAATTTCATCATCATCAGCTTATAAGTGCCCACTGCTAAGCAAAGGCCTCTTCTCATACGGAGAAGGTTAGAGCATTACGCTTGCTCAATGCGGGTTGGCAATTTCAAACTTATCTAATTATAAGACCAGGCTTCATCACGGTCCGAAACCTGGCAAGTACCAATGTGACTTTATCAGAATTATACGTTCTTTTTATGATTATTTAGATAGGTACCACTGACGTATGGTGAAGGAAAATATCTTGAGAAAACCTGGATTTGTCATTTATATCTAATAATATAAGATTGGAAATCGACAATTTGATCCACAGTCAAACTGTGAATACAGTTTTGTGGGACTATTTTTATTTCATTAGTTCAATGTCAAAGTCAAAGTCAAAGTCAAAGTCAAAATCATTTATTCCATCTAAACCATAAATAGGTACTTTTGAAACGTCAAAATAGAAAAGTAGTCTGTCAGTCTGTTCGTCAGTGAAGCTAGATGCTCATTTCAAATTGTAGATTCGAATGGAGAAGAACGAGCAAGAAACTCCATTCGTTGCTCTTTTTTTTAAAAAAATTGTTTTACAATTTCAATAATATAACATTTATAGTATACATTAGTGTACCCTTATGTGAGAACAATGCAGAGACAAGTTGTTAAAAAAAAAGAACAAATGAGGGGACCTATCATAAAATTTTACTCCTTTGTCGTCTCGAACATGGCGCTCACATATGCGTACTCACAATCTTTAAGAGTGCTTCTATATAAACTTTTTGGATATATAAATTAAGGATGCATTATTTTTGAGAATTTTACCTAACTGCTGACTATATTTGAGTATTGTCCAGCGGAGCCGAATCTACACGCTGCCAGACATTCTTATCCTCAATATAATCTGAAAGTTTGTAGTATGCCTGTCTACACAATTCGCGTTTAATATAAGTTTTAAATTTTCGTTCGTTAAGATTCAATACAGTACTTGGAATTTTATTGTAACAATTTACACAGAACCCCATAAAGGATTTCTGTACTTTGGACAGACGGAATCGTGGCACAGCCAGCCTATCTTTACCTCTTGTATTAAAATTATGTCTATCGCTTCTTTTTTCAAATAATTGCAAATTTTTCCTTACATACATAATATTTTCATATATAAACTGACAAGGCACTGTCAGGATATTTATCGTTTTAAATAGTTCTCTCAGAGATTCGCGACGGGGCAAGTTATATATCGCTCGGATAGCCCGCTTTTGTAGAATAAATATTGATTCTACTTCCGCAGCTCGACCCCACAGCAAAATTCCGTACGACATAATGCTGTGAAAATAGCTAAAATAGACAAGCCTTGCTGTGTTCACGTCTGTGAGCTGTCTTATCTGTCTAACTGCAAAAACAGCAGAGCTTAGTCTCCCCGAAAGCGTCTTTATGTGGGAACCCCATTGAAGTCTATTGTCTAGTGTGATACCTAGAAACACTGTCTCGTTGACAAATTCTAACTTTTGCCCATTTAAAATTATGCTACAATCATTACTGTGTACTTTGGGCAAGCTAAATTTAATACATTTTGTTTTTTTCTCGTTAAGTGCTAAATTATTGACTGTAAACCAATTATGAACTTGATGAATGGAAAATGAAAAGAATGTGATGTGTTTAATAAATAACTTTTGATTAGTAGTGGGTATTTATAGGCTGATGATGATACGAATTCTAAACATCATGTAAGGATATGAACGGTCTTAAAATATTAAAAAATAGTTACAATTACCTTTTTTATAATATCTTCAATAAAGACATCGTATATCTCATCCACGGCTTCGACTAGTGCCTCTGGATGCACTTGCTGGTCTCCACAATACTTGGCTTCCAATACGGCTAGAAAAGCTGCCCACTTGAAGTGACCAATGGAAGAGCCGAGGGCCTCCCAGTCAGCAGTGTCCCATCGAAGGCCAAGGCAATGAACTAGCTGTTCTGCTACTATACCCGCTTCCGATGGCTGGAGTACCACCTGAATGAAGAACATAGCGATATGAAAATTTAATGTTGATCAGTAAACAAATTTTTGCTTCAAGAAATCTTCTCAAAGAGACTTAGGATAAATTAAAGAAAAACAAAATTAAAGCTGTAGATAACTGCAAATCTTATATATTAAAATGGGCCGTAAAATGTGTTGGTAAGCGCATAACTCAACAACGCCTCGACCAATTTTGCTAATTCTTTTTTTGTTGTATTTGTTATTGTCAGGAGAATGTTCTTATCAAAGAAAATATTAAAAAAGTAGAGGGGAAGATAAGGAAAAAGTGACCCTTTGATAGGGAGATAGTTGGACCCGTGTGAAGCGGGGCGGGCCGCTAGAATTTAATAATATTGACAGATCGAATATTTATTATCTATTACAAATACATAAGTACTAAATTTTAATGCAAATAATTAATAAATCGGTCATGTACCTATGTATGTAATCAGTCGTTGTATGTAGGTATGTATTAGTATTAAGATAATAAAAGTAGTTCAACTACAGAATGCACTTAAAGTGAACACTAGGTGTGGTTCGACGATTGCAAAACCCACACAAACACACTTGAAAAACATACAAGACTTATGTATGTATGTTTTATCATGAAAAAAAGAGAAAGTTAAAATATTGTGAAACTATACGTAAATGACAAGCATTATGTAACTTAACTATTGCAAAATTGAAACCCATACAGGAACGCGACTGACTTAAAAAAATCAAATGTGTACGGTGTAAGTACGTTATGTTAAAGTATCTAGTAGTTATATTTATCACATTAGGAATATAGCTGAGCGGCAGATCCTTACTGACTAAAAATCCCGTTCCTTCTCCTGCTCCAGGCCGAGTCCGCGGTAACTTATTGTGCTTACTCCGTAGCCTAGGGGACAAGTCTGTCTAAAGTCCGTTTACTGTTCTTTAGTCATTTTAATAATATCAAGGACTATAGGTTAAGTAGGTATAGGTAGTAGACCTTTATTACCTAGCAACCCGCTTACGATGTTAGAATCGACTCGCTAAACTCTCATGAACTTTAAAACTTAAACGTAGGCGTAATTAGTCAGCTATAATAATTGCGATCGAAAAATTAGCAAAGCTTGAATTAATAATAAGCTCGTTAAACTATGTATAATGGGTTTAGTATTTTGTCGTACTTAACTGCAGATTTAAAGTAGTGCAGTTTATTAATGACCATTGAAATTTTTTAAGATTTATCTACACGAAATCTTTTAAGCAGCTAGGGCCTGTGTGGCCTGGGCCATGTCTGAATGGGGTGTGAATGTGTGATAGTCACAGAACATATAAGTCCATTTCTGTTCTTTAGTGATAGAAATATAGCACATACACTTTTTTAAGAAGAGGAAAATTGTTATACTCTTCTTGTTAAATTGAGATTTCTCCCGCCGACAATTTTCCAAGAGGTAGTGTCAACTACTAACTAATAATCGGTTTGGTATTGATCATTTCGAATAAAATGGGTACTGAATATATAATAACACAAAGTGTGCTTGCTTCAGGAAGTTCTTATTGTCATTTGAGTGGTTACTAATTGCTAAGACATTGTCATAGTTACATAATTTTGCATGTAGGAGGCGTCAAGCGACCTACTCATATGTGTATTTTTAACCTTTTTGCAACAAGTGAAAGTTACATACTGAACGCTAAACGTAATCTGCAGTATAACAGATAAAAACTGAACGAAAATCTAAACAAAAAAATATTTGCTATAGCCTTATTCTTCATAGTGGAAATGAAATACTATGTGAATTAGTAAAATGTGTAATAATTATATATTTTTTTTATATTATTATCTTACTGTTATAAAAATACCTTTATTTAAAGAATGTTACATATTTTTGTAAGTAGGTAATAACTTTAACAGGGCCTTAGTATAGTTGGAACATCTGTTATTGAAAACCACCTCTTTTAACTTTATGTAGTTGTAATAACGACATTTGATTTGATTTGAAATGGAAATACACCGTCCACACGTAGGTATAATCAATACAATGATATGATAGTCAATAATTTGATCAGTATTTTTAATAAACATTTGTATTACGTGATAATGATAGCAATTTCCAATCTGTTTAGTTACGGACATTCGAAGTTTAGTGATCTCACGACGTGTTTAAGAGTATGTAATTAATAAATACACACAGTACTAGTGTCAATGACCTATTTGTTGTAGAGTGAGAGGAAGAAATACTTATAAGGTCGCGGTCACATTCCATAAGCGGAAGCGATTTTGAGATACGCCGATTTACATTATTTAGGACTGATTTTTCAATGGTTAGATAAAAGTTACCTGGGGACTCAGAATACAGAACAACTGTATTCTGAGCCTGGGGAATAATCTAATATTACTATACTCTGTGGGAATAATTATGATGTTGTCGCGTCAGAATGTTTGTGACAGTGACATCAACAATTTTATTCCTCAGATAACATTTATCTGACTATTGAAAAATCAGTCCTTAAACGGACAATACAGGATCTACTTACACGAGAATTATTTGAAAGTCGTGATTTTTAAAAGCATAGATTTAAATTTACATGTATATTTGTTAGGGGTATGTAAGCTTTGTGATAACCTATAAAAAATATATTTTATTTAGTTACTGATTGGTTAAAATCTGTGAGTAACCACTGGATAGGAAAGTAAAAATGTGTGAACAACACAGACAAACTAGCAATCGAAAAGTCGCTGTCGCTTTATAATATAAGACTAACCGAATCCAAGATAACGTCCGATAACAACATATGGTCAGCATATGAACTCGATGATGGTTGAAATTAAATTCGGGCAGATGGGCGAAGATTATTGTCACTCATTTGTTTTAGGGAAAATCATTGTCTATATAAGTATCAAAACGTACAACAAACAATTTTATTATAAATTTCGAGAGACATTCTAAATTAATTATTATGTTTTCGGCTTACTCGCGTAATAATTTGACGAGATACTCGACTAGTTTCAAGCCTTGCTAGAGGCCCATATTCATGAGCAGCATTCCGCGACACGCGACGCGGTGACTGTCGTTAAAATTGAAACAATTTTATAGCAAGAAAAGTAGTCCGTTACTCAAGCCTTACCTTAGAGTAATTTAAAACAATGAATTACTGAAAATTAAAAGGCCCCAATATTATCCATTAGAGTATGATTTTCAATTTGGGAACGTTATTAAGTGTATGTGATATCCTTATATTATTAAATGGTATTCATACTCATACTCAATATTTAATTACATGCCACCATGCGATCATAAAACAGTTAGTAAGAATGTTAGATTAGGAATCAATTATGGACTCTGTTGGTTACAAGTTAAGAAATAATAAATCCATCCAAATAGTACCATATACAGACGTTATTTATGCTATTAATATGGTGGAGAGGAACTTAAAAAGAATTACCTATTATAAAGCTGTAGAGTTTGTTTGTTTGTTTGAACGCGCTAATCTCGGGAATTTCTGGTTTGAATTGAACAATTGTTTTGTATTCGTTAGCCCATTTATCGAGAAAGGCTATATATGTAAAGGCTATACAAAACATCACGCTATGATGAAATGGAGCTAAACAGTGAAAAAAACCCGCGAGAGTGGCTATTAAACTTATCCCAGACAAGTGTTCAGCACTCAACCTGAAATAAAATTACCTAATATTTATTTTACAATCAGTATTTAACATCATTCTCACGGCATTACTTGCCTTTCCCTTTCTCTACGATATAAAAATGACATTTATTACACTTATTAATTTTTTATAGCGTCACTGATCGCAAGTAATGTTCGATGTACTCTTAAGTAAAGCTGATATAGGTTTTTACGATCATTTTATTGGTGAATGGTAATAATAAAAGGACCTTCAGAATTGATTTGCCCATACATAGGAATAAAATAAATCCTCTGTTTTGCAGTGTTGATCGTAGATTTTATTTTATCTTAAGGAAATCGCTAGATATGCAGAATTGTGTTGTCTGTATACTTTTAAGGATGAATGGAGGACATATTATTATGAAGTCTGGATTTATCTGGCTGTTAGAGGTCATTATATGTATGTATCCATACTATGTAAGTTTGTATTGTACATGTGTATCATTTTACTTTAAAATGTATATAAGTCCTATACAAACATTATTATTAGATATTTGCATTTGCATTGCGGCATATCACCTACTACACATGCGCTACTAAAAGGATGACTGGTAGAAAATGCTTTTAGCATTAAGTCCTGTGATATCCAATTGCATATAAATAATAAATAAATAAATAAATATTTTGTCTGGTAGCAAAGCTGAAGTTGAACTGAAAGAGACCGTTCGCATCACGCATTAACGCATCGCGTCTTGTGTGCCAGGGTTTCGGGGTAAGCGCATTGAGGCACCGCGGCGTCGGCGTAGAGCAGGAGAAGAAACGGAGGGGTTTTTTTTAGTCAGTAAGAGTCTGACACTTCCTCTCGCCTCAATCCAGGCGGGAGTAGTCATTTGATGATTTATTCCCCTAACAAATCACTCACCATATAATGCTTGGAGTCATCCGCATCTTGAACCAGATCTCCAAGCAGACAGAAGATCCTGAACAGCTTGAACACGGAGTCATCGCTGAACACACTCTTTTCTCGTCCTAGCAGGCTCTTACGGCACACAAGCCAACAGACCTGAGAAGAAAATAAAGAACGAATTAGATCTATTCTGTCGGTACTAGATATGTTACTTTGTTACTGTGAAAATAAAAACCTAGTATCTATAAAAATAGAAAGAAATATAAAAACAAAGTCGTGATAGTTTCAATATTTATAACCTAAGAACGGCTGAATCGAAATAGGGTAGGGTAGGTAGTGAAGATAGGAAACTAGGTTGGGTATACACTACACAACCTATTTACCTTGCTAGGTATTCAAATGACGGGAGCGAAGCCACGTGTAAAAGCTAATAAGATGATTTTGATTTCTAAATTACTTGGTAAGTTCAACTCGCTGACTAAAATGGGTATTAAACTCCGAACTTATCCTGTAGGGCCATAAACATATTAATAGTTACATAGTAAATTTTGTAAAAACACCTGCAAATTTATATGACTTTATTTACCTTTACTGCTGCTCAGTGACATAAAAACTATATAAACATTATAATATGCAGGTAAATAGAGTTTGTGGTGACTCGCTGGTGGCGTGAACGGTCACACGTTGCGGTGAGGCGCTAAGTATCAGTATGACATGATTGACGTGGAAGTAAGCAAGGAAATTGGTTTATGTGTACCTACCTTATTACTCCCGCCTACATTTCCCGAATATTAAATGACATATTCTTATTGAGTGCTTATAATATTTTTGTTTGGAAAACTTTACGAAATACAAAACAAACTTCATTTTTAGGTTTATTTTCCCATGGGATAAAGGAACGCGTCATAAGTTTCTATTAATCACCTAAGAAACGTGCTACTTAGACTTTACAAAAATAATATACAGAAAACACCAGAGGTGGATTTATCCTTCAAAATCGACATGCATTACCTACTGCTCAAGCAGAAAATGGCAATAATAATCATGTGGATTACCGAATCCAAAGCCTCTAAAAACCTAAGTCATCAAATACACATTAAAAAAACAACGCATGGGCCGGTAGGTACATACTGTTACTAATTAAAGCCACCCAATTTCTCAACACAATAGTTTTTAAACAATACTCGAAACAGATAAAGCACGCAGTAGGTTGCATGTAATTATAAACTTACTTGATAGGCACTGACTCGTCTCGACCTACTTGCACAGCTGTGCAAAGGAGTTTGGAGCCAAGTAGATTCAATAACTTATTTTGTCACAATGGCAGTGTTTGGCAGGATGCCTATAAAATAAGTATTGTTAGAGCCATGTCTTGTGACCCGAAAAACTTGGCCAACAATTTAAAATAAAGTTTCGTTAAGTATGTGTTTTTAAACTACTAGTTTAATTTTAAAGTCATTTTAAAGGCTTGACTAAGAGCCGTGCTCTAGAATAATATGCTCGACAGAAAATACATATATTGATTTAGCAAGAAGTAGATACCTAAAGACAAAAAACCGCAGATGGCATTTAAGAAGCATAAGTAATATAAATACTCCCATTCTTAGATGTTTGTTATATGCACATACTACATGATTTGTGACCATATTTGTCCACAACTAAACAGATTTATATTAATTTTGCGGCCTGGGGAAGCGATTACATTAGGGTGGTCTGGGAAGGGCAAGTGTTTTCTATGTAAACAGACGACTATACTACAGTGTATCACGCTCCAGACGAGTTTAGTGGAAATCAATACTATGGACGCGGTTCCAAGAACTTAGACACTTGAGGTTGACGATTGCCGATTGCATTGAAGGTTGAGAAGCTAGCTTACGTCGAATATTCTGGATTGTGGTTTTTTAGTTAATAACCATGAACAAACCTACTTCGTCTTTTTTACTTGAAGATACAAATTTGTTTGGTTTGTCCGTTTGTTCTGTATTCTGAGGTTTGTCCACTTTATGACCAGTATATATCACGAAAACATTATTTAAGTACTAATTGTAGAATAGGAAATTCAGGTGGCGTCGATAAAGTCCGATAATTCGTTCTTTTTTGTAACCAAAACGCGTTTATTTTAGCTTTAGTGTAAATCCGCATAATATAGGTAACTGGAAAATCTACCATAACAATCAATTGCTTATTGTTTCTTATTAAAATAGAAATCCGATTTAGTACACTATGAAAGGGTGTTATTAAAGTTGAGGACAATTTCTTTAGATATTGTTTCGAGATATCGCATTGTAAGCCAAATTATTGGCTAATAGGTTATTTTGCAAGTGGCTTCGTGACTCTTTATTTGCTATCTTGTCATCATAATCTTTAAGAGGTCGTTGACTTTTATTCGTCTCGAAACAGATAAAGCACGCAGTAGGTTGCATGTAATTCGATAAACTGAAAGTCTAAAAACTTGTTATTTCAAAATCTGCATAATTTAGTCTAAGAAAAAGTAAAAGACGGTATATAAGAGCTTTTTATTTGGCAATAGACCCGTTTATCATAGAATCATAGTGTAGAGAATAAATTTGAATTCGTCTAGGGTTTGATAATTGTTTGAAATGGGTAAATAAACTATGGAATTTTCACAATTTAAGTAAGGCAGAGTAGTGTCCTGCTGGTGGACAGACGATATACGTAGAGCGGCTTTAGTGAGAAGAGTTGAACATTGAGGTCAGTAAGGGCCTATGTCCAGCAGTGGACGGAAACAGCCTGATGATAATGATGATGATGAAGTAAATCAGGGCAATTTGAAAGTCACACAAAAGCCAAATTAGTACCTAACCTTGTGGTTTAGTATTTAGTGCTGATGGTGTCCATCGCACTAATTGAACAGGGGAAATGGTCACGCAATCCGATGTCTACAATAGTGCAAAATGAACTACATATTACCAGTCTAGCCTGACCTCGTGTTAACAATGTTTACTATACGGTGGAAGGCCAACTCATTCTGGTTTTAATGTGAATACGAAAAGAATCAGTCCAAAGGGAGATCATTAATTAGAGGTGAGTAATTGTAAGTAACTTAAATATTTGATTTCGTTTTAAGAGCTAAAGAAAAAATGTTATGAATTTTTGAAAATACAGATTACTAGCGAAAATTTGTAAATAAACGCTGATTTATTATTTTAGTAGCAATGCAATGTTGACTTGCGTGGAATTTCGGTGAGAGATATTATTTTAAAATACTGAATTGGATAACGTAACTACGACGACGACGACTACCTAATACAGACCTTGATGTAATATGGGTTACTTTAAAGCATTTCTAGCTGTCTTTATACATGTATATGCTATTATTTCCCCTCGACCGACTTCGTCGTACGTCGTAATCGAATCCAATATATTTATATTAAGTGTACGTCTGCCCACAGTCAATATTTATTGCCGAAAGTCTGTTCTTTCTCTCTTCCTTATTCCTTGAAGATCTATTCGCTTACAATATAGGTACTGTGAACTTTTCCTTTTGAGTTAGTAGGAATAAGACAGTGTACTACTACTACTATTTTTAATTAATTATTCACAACAATCAATTTTATGTATTATAAAATCCTTGTCGCTCCAGCTATTATATAACCAAAACTAGTATTGATATCAATTTCCACTACTGAGTTTATAATACATATTTCAAAGGAGTAAAATTTTTAAGTTTGGATGTAGGGGTAATCCTTGGATTAGTTGGTCGGATTTCCAAAATTCTTTCACTGATAGATAGCCACAATGTTTGTAAAAAGTAGTGCTTGGCGCTATGGTGACCTAACACTCTTTTCGCGTATATGATATATATAGGTTATGGTTCGTATGGTACCTAATTTAAAGTCTCAAATTGTAAAGAGAATGTCTATATTGCACTAAATCACTACAAAACTTATAATAGTTAGAATCTACGTAAAATAGTAATGGTAATGGTTTTGAGTGACTTGATTGCTATAAGCTATTCATTGATTTGTGTATTTTAGTCGAAATACCGCTTTAACGCTGCTTTTAACATCCATATACATTACTTTTATACGCATGCGGAAGCTAGATTTAAAACAACGCACGTACCTCACTGATCTTCTTCTCATATTCCCTGACTATTGGTAAGGTAGCAGTCTTCGGCAGGGAGCTGAAGACCTCACGCTGCAGGTAGTAACGGAACTCATCGAAGGTGAGCTCCTGCGATGATTTGAAGTGATCCAGGCCCTTTTCTACACCATAAAGGTCCAGTAAGGTTCCAATATTCGCTGTAAGTACCTGGAAAGACAAAAAAGTTACGTTAAGTTAGTTAGTCTGTTAGAGTTTAATGGGCTTATAGCTAAGTGATAAAAACCAAACTGTGATGTTTTTGCCATAATAATTTACTAATTTGTAAAATTCAAAATTCATTAGGTACTTCATATAATAAAACAAAGTTGCTTCTCTGTTCCTTTATCCATAGGACAATTTTTATGTTTGTATGCTGAAATCTTTAAACATACATAACTGATTTTGATGCGATTTTTTAAATACATAGAGTGATTGAATAGCAATCTTTGTGTGTATAATAACGTCTAATAAATAATGGAGAAATTAATTCTAGCATTGCAACCGCGCGCGGATCCGTGCGGATCGCTAGTTTCTATACAAATTCGATGTTGTTATTCGATGTATTTTTTTAACTAGTTTATAACGATAGGTCATTTTGTTTTGCCCTAAATCTTAGGATGAATCATTCGATGCAACATCATCCTACATACATATGTATATCATCCTAATTATATGTTTCCTCATTCTTACAAATTTCTATGCATTTCAATATTTTCATTTATGTACGTGCTTTTCTTTGGTCATACGTCTTTGTGTATTTTCTACCTCAGAAGTTAAACAAACTGTACTGCATTGAAACATACTAGAAATATTACAGTTAGTATGGAGTAGTACACACTGTACAAACAGATGAAATCACCACTAGCTAAGTTACAAGCTGACTCATTGTTTCTGTACGCTATCAGCTAACTCAAACGCAAACTGACACGTTTCGGGTTTCAACATCAATCAATATAAACATTGTACAGAAAGTACACTTTATAATTTTGTTTTTTACCTAATCTACCGCGAAGAAATATTCTTAATTAAGCTAATTACTAATTCATTAAAGAATTTGTGAAAGTAAATTGAGTTCAAAACTAATATTATGAATGCGAAAGTAACTCTGTCTGTCTTTTCTTCATGTCTAAACTACTGAATCTATTGTGTGAAATTTTGTACGGATATAGTTTGGAACTCAACAAAGGACATAGGATAGTTTTTAAACCAAAAGTCACTATTCCACGCGAACAAAGTCGCGGGCAAATGCTAATATTTTATACATTACTAGCTCTGCTCGGCTCCATTTGATCGTAGCGTGATGTTTTATAGCCTAAAGCACTCAGGAACGTTGTAGCTATCTATCAGTGAAACCATTTTGGGAATCCGACCAGTGGTTCCAAATATTACCCCCTACATACAAACTTACAAATTTTATCTTTTTATAATATTAGTATAGATTTATTTGCCAAGATTACCGAACGATTGCCAAGTGTTCGCCGAGGAATACTTATATGTACCAGTGACCAAATTTTAGGTTTAGATTTTACAGTTTATGTAGTGTGTGTGTAATACGTTTTTTTCTACTTAACCTTCTAGTCATATCTAATGAGCACACAGACATTAAGTAATTGGAAACGCAACGTAAACCGATTCGTTTTGGGTTACATTGACTTATCTAATGAGTGGCCATCAGCCGCCTTAATGGTAGTCAAATTAGTTTTATAATAACAAAGAGGACTTTGTGTCGTTTAATGATGTTGTTATGTGTACAGAAAAATGTCTACAATAATATTATTATTTGTGGGGATAGAAAGATTTGAAGTTTTAAGCTAACAAGAATAATCTTCTGTGCACAGCTGTTCTTATTACACAGATGGGGCCCAATGGGGTCTATGTTGCCCAAGCGCAATGAAGTACCCCGGCCTGATCATGGAGCAGGAAAATGAAGGGGATGGTTTTTAGCCAGTAAGAGCCTTGACACTCCCTCTTGCATCACATTGACCGTGAGAAGTCAGTTGAAGATTTACACGCCTCAAATAAAGCCGTCGTTACTAACTCATTTTACTTTATTATGGAATCATGAAATGTATATAATACTAGCTAAAGCTACTCTCACGCGGTTTCACTCGCTGCTCGGCTTCATTTAATCGTAGCGTGATGTTTTATAGCTTAAAGCACTCAGGAACATTGTAGCTATCTATCAGTGCAAGAATTTTGGCAATCTAACCAATGGTTCCAAAGATTACCCCTTACATACAAACTTACAAATTTTACCTCTTTATAATATTAGTGTAGAAGTATAGACATGTACTACAATTACCAAATTCTTTAAAGTATGACAATGAAGGACACATTATATTAAAAAAATGCTTTGTATACGAAAGGTTCTAAACTTGACAAGCAATGGTAAACGCGGGGCCTTGAACTGGACTATTGATTTAGATAGACAATGTAGGTACTATTATGTCACTTTGGGCGTATCAAGCAACGTATCAACGATTCCTCATTTGTCTGTTTGTCAAACTCATTAGATTGATTGACACTTCAGTAACTGGATATTGTCTGCTAAGCTCGCAACGAATGTTTGTGTATGTCATGACACAAAATGGTAACATGATTATGCCATATTTTGGTTGTAAAAAAATTAGTAGAAATTATAGTCAAATGGGTTGATTTTTTTATTGAGTAGGAAAATCTTAACTCGCCCTCGGTGGGTTAGTCCTACTAGGGTGTGTTTAAATGTGGGAGAGCCAAGCTTCGGCACGAATGGGTCGGCTCGACCGGAGTGATACCACGACCCACGGCCTCACTGAACACCGGCGTGAAACAACCACAGCGTTGTGTTTCGCTGTATGAGTGAGTTTACCGGAGGCCCCTTGCCTTCTCCCTCCCCAATCCTTAATTATCCGAAACCCTTATCCCTAAAAGGCCGGCAACGCACTCGTAACTCATTTGGAGTTGCGGCTGCCATCAGGTAATCCAGTGTGTCAGTCTCTTATTGACTAATAACCACCCTATTCCTTCTCCTGCTCCAGGCCGAAGACGCGATATTTAATTGCACTTGACTTCCCTTCTGGTTGAACATAAGCTGGTAAGTTTTTTCCGGCCGAAATTGCTAAATATCAGAAAAGGTAGGATGCAACCCTAAGTCGGTAGGTAAAACTACCAGAATCGCAAATGTTTAATCTTAATTCCTTTGTATATGAACTATTACTGTACATAAATAAACATGTGTCATTCTCATGCTTATATATCGCTTATACAGTTATTCATTTTTCAAATTACTTAGTTATTAACGTGATTTTACTATGATACATGACGGCAGCGTGCGACAGGATTTAGCCGACCTTTCATAATTAATTGTATGAGATAATAAAATAACTAAGTCTTGAGTAATGCTGGTTTAAAAAAACTGGACTGCCTTGCTGATACTGAGTTCAGAATCGGTTCACAAGTAGATTAAACGACTCTCTTTTTCTTTTAATGTAGGCATTTAAGAAAGTCCCTTGAAACAACTACTGATATTAAGTTCATTTTTGATTCCTGAGCAGGCTCCCGCGAATAAGAGGGAAACAGTCCATGTTACGCTTAGATATATCGCAAATCTGCGGACGGCGAGTAACGGTAGCTCGCCGCCCGACCAGAACCAGCCCCAAGTGTACGGCGCGTAGCGTTCCGCGCGTGCCTCAAAGAGCCAATAGACCACCACAGACAGTGCCCTAAAGGGCTGATTTTCAGCCGTGGTTGCAGATTAAGCGTATGCTTAGAGCAGGAGAAGGAATGGGGGGGGGGGGTTAATCAGTAAAAGTCTGACACTCCCTCCCGGCCCAATTTGGGCGTGAGAAGTCATTTGATGATTTTCTCCTCACAAAAAAACCGCTTAGATACATAAAAGCTTTTTATAGTTAAAAAAAAAACCACGTACTATACTACTAACTATGAATAAGAAAACTTGAAAATAATTAAAATGCAACCAAAAAGTTTAAGACGCTCCTCTGATGCAGTAGACGATGATTAATCGTCCGATGTCCTCTATCTGGGAATAACAGATGATGTTGACGTCATCATAAAGACAAAAACGACAAAATAAAATATATAAATGAAGAGCTCTGTCTCAGCTACAAACCCGCGGCAGCGTATCGAGCGGTGCATCCGTTATTATTTAGAATCTTATTACTCAAACACACTGTAGATGCCTGTATAATGCACATGTATAGGGTTACCAACAGGAAGAGAATAGCGTATATATTATAAAGGCAAGTTTTCGCAATTGATTTTAAACGTTGCCTCGCATTGATTACTATACGCGTAAGCATAATTTAAAGAAAAATCTCTGGTCTACTCTAATTTTGGCAACAAATTAAGAATAAGCGTTGTGTGTGAGGTTACCGGAAGCCCAATCCCTACCGAATTCCAAAATCTTCAAAACCCTAATCCCCAAAAGTTCGGCAACGCACTCGGAACTCTTCTGTTGCGCGGAAACGAATGGGCGGCGCTGATTGCTTATCATCAGGTAATTTCTAATCTTTTTTGCCGACCATTACCTACATAATAAAAAAAACACATTACATAATAAATTATTTAAATGTCTTAGCAGGTGTAGTTGACGAGACGATACGGACCTTGTGGAATGTAGCACAAATTTCCGTGCGTTTAGGCGTTTTTGCCATACCTATTACTGGGAACAACTATAGCAGCTCACACATAGGTCCCATTACAATAACAATACAAAAATTTACCGTGGTGTTTGATGACTGGGCGTCTCCCAGTTGTACAGTCTCTTCTGTGCCCTTAAGGCCTAAGTCATTCTGTCTCCTGCATTAAATTTGCCGAGGAAACTATTTAGTTTTTTCTTCTCCTCAAATAATATGTTTTGATTTATTTCGTTTCGGGATCCAAGACAACCATGTCCCTGGGACGCACCGGACTGCAGTGTACCGGTGTTTTCATGGTTTTATCTACTGTAGATCCTGGCTTACAGGAGTTGCAGCGGTTTTGGCTGGTTGCGGCGGGCTTATTCAATGGGGCAGCAATTATTCAATAATTCGGGCGGGCATGCAGGCATCATCAATGTATTGTATGGTATGAAATTTTTGCTTAGAGTTACCGGACGGAGGCAACCGCAAATTAACTGAAAAATGGATAAATTGATTCCAATAAAACGCGAATGAAACGTATCATTACAAACAGGAAAAAAATATGTTCACAAATTATTTTCGTGGTACTTTATAGTTGGTTAATAAGGCCGTTAAGTTGCCATTTCGGTTAAAATCATGGCTACCCCGATCGGGTTCAATATCCGACGATAACTTAGTGATTCATGCAATGTTTTGTTGTTCACATCGACGTTGTCGGTGAAGGATAATTCAGTATTTCAATAATAATGTGGACATTGTGTTTTTGATATAAAATTCTTAAGAACATGGTGTCTATTTGTGGAAATGATTCATAGATTCCATGTTTTTCATAAAGTTGTCTACTTAAAAATGGCAGAATTGAATCATAATTGTGTTTATCGAACACTATTGACTTATATCCACATGTTCCGAGGAGAGATCTACTTACTACACAGGTAGAATCCTAAAAGATGATGAAGATCCCGATCGTGTACATATAAATAAATGTACGGCCTGGTAACAGGAACGTTCAGAGGTGCCTATAACAATCTAATTGAAATAAATTGTTTGAATTTTGTAGTTAGGCTCCTAGGCTACTTTTTTAATTATCTACATGCCAATTAACTTTGTTGACTGTACCTAATATAATTGTATTATTATTCAAGTCTGGTGCATCGTGTATGCTTCAATCTTGTAGGAGTAATCACGGTTGTTCGTCTTACAATCGGATGAATCATAGCTATTACTGCACATAAATTACTCCATAGCTATGGGAAATAAAATGACCTTACACCCACATCATAGTTCTTAAGCCCAACCATCAAATCAATAGCGTTCCAATAATAAAATTTGATAAAGTGTTAAGATATTCTGTCTAAACTTTAATAAGTCTACAATTCAGGTGAATTGAGGAATCTGTAGGTGCATAGTTGACTTGAAGCAAACAACCCAATAGTTAAGTACAATCAATTAATAAGCAAATTTAAATAAAATTATACACATTTTCACGCAAAAAAAGGTTGTATTCATACCAGCCTAGTTAGTAGCTAATAAGTACTTGCTATAGATACTTAATACTTATTAATAACTAGCCATAGAGGAATATTCTACCTCTGCACGTCGATTCTATTAAATTTGTTTGATTTGAATCTTGTTCGAGTGCGAAGCGAGAGTCGAAGTGACGGGGAAATCAAATTTTAGAATGCCACTTTTAACGTCATCTCATACTTTATGTATCAAAATTTTGTTGTCAATTTAGTTCAACTCGCAAGTGTAGCGCTAGTGTACTACTACTCACAGCGGATTCCGATTCGAAGTTTAGAATGAAGTCTTACAGAATCACACTGCTGAGTTTGTTTAGGCATTTCTTCTCAGAGTAGTCAGATAGGAAATGCCGGCTTCATCTAGTTTTTCACATATAAATTGACGTGTAAAAATGCCGGTTTATGGCCTATTTGCGAAAATAAAAGTAGTGGTGAATCGCTGTTTCTGGCGCACGCGCCAGAACCAGCTAATCACCCGGAATCTAAAATCTGAGTGGCACCAAACCTAAAAAAAAAAAAAAAAAAAAAAAAAAAAGTTTGGTATGCTATCCTACGTTTTGGCATGCTCTGATCACGTTTTTGCAGTCCATTTTTGCGTAGGATGCGTGGTTCTGGAGTTATGCAAATCAGAATCAGCTTCTGAACCCTCATTAACGTTCCTTTGTTTGCTTATCGTTACATTACTTAACGTCCCATTGTTCGCCTATCGTTATCATTATCTATTGTGCTTCGAACTCTCTCATTACGGTTGCTTTGGCGTTCTTATCTATTACTCATTGTTAACTTCATTTTGTCTGATTTTCTATATCATCAATAAAACACAATCATTCATTTTTATTTCGAAATTTTATTACTTTCATTTTACAAAATAAGAGTGGAACATCTCATCCACTAAATTATCATTGTACAGCGTGTTTCCTGTAAATATGTTCGTAAAACTATGCATTGAACATCCCTGAAACTTAAATAGCAAATACATTAAGCAATATTCGCTACAAACCGAAGTCCAATCATTCTGAATCCTATCAACATTCCAGTCCCACCTCTTACAATTCCTCTTCAAAAACTGAAGATGATATCGCTCAGGTGTTCGTCCATATGAATCAAAATATTGGCCGATACCATTTGTATCGATATGTATGGCTACCCAGTGTGACCCTAGTTTATCATCCGCATCCAAATTGCATATTATATACGTTGGTACATGTGTGTACATAGGTAGTCTATTAGCAGCATAAACATTATTTTCTAGACTGGAATGAATCTTTTTCATATGTTTTTGTAATTCTAGTGTATCCATGATATTACTGTTATTAGCAGATTATTACAGTACCAATCTATAAAATGGTTGTCATAGGAATGTTCAATGATAGTGATTTGTAAATAAAAAATCGCATTCTTTGTGTAAGTCACAAAACAGGTTCATGCCTGTTTTGTGATGTGAGATAAGTTTGTTGATTCATAGAGTTTCGTTGTACTTAGGGATGTGTATGTGTGTGTCATGTTTTAGATAAGAATGGACTATATATGATGGAACAATTGCAGTCATGCAATCAGTGTATGGTCGTTTGACCACAGTGAATTGTATACGTCTACCAATACTACGTTTGTGTTACCTACTTCAACGCATCATGGAGGTAAGTGTTTATTCTATTGACAAACTTACTTGTATTTCTGTTGTTGTTTCCTTACGTGTGTATGTGTGTGTGTGTCAGATTAATCAAATTGATATTAACGTGATAACTCTGTTGTTGCAGAGATCATTCAGCTTCGCAGACGATAATGTAAATACCTATAAACAGTATTACTACTCGCCTCTCTCTCCCCAACATGAAGAAGAGAGTGATGACATCGTCGTTAATAACACAGACGATGGTGGATAAAGGAAATCGCAACCGATTGATAAATTTTTTGAAGTGGCACCAAAAATAAAATGGAGGAAGCTGCTATCGTCGACTGTGGCACGAGCTGTTAAAGATGGCGTATCATACATCTCTACAAATTCTGACGACATCTCATCATCATCTCATCTCATAAAAATTGAAATGTAAGATATGAAGAAACTATCCAAGATTCCAACTAGTGATCACTGGAAGCACGCTACCACGAGGATTAAATATTACGTAAAGAATTATAAGGATAGCATCTACGACAACACAAACGGTCTCGTATACAATATTACAAAGACAATAGCAGAAAGTGAAAAAGTAAAAAAATACTTTTTTAACAATAACACTCACTCATTAGTGGATTAGTCATATTAATACAAATTAAGGATTCTAAAGATGTTTATAAACTAATCATAGATAAACTAATAGTATATGTTACCTAATGATATAAAAGTTTGTGATGAAATGGAGAAGCGTGAACTGTTCGATTCATCGTATGGTGATGCTCGGATACTCTCTTCTCTACTTTAATTATAAGTAGTATATTGTATAAGATTAAATAGGGAAGGTTTATAAGTAAATAAAAAATAGTACATTGCATACATTTTGTTTTATTAAATTTTATAATGTTACCTTTAGTTACACACACAAAATGCATTAAGCGTAACACATATATCTAAAACACAATACACATTATAATCCCAACTACTATAGTCTACAGTAACATTTCTATTTTTATCTATTTCAATAATATTATCAAACTCAGCATAAACAATACAGTTAATTGTTTGTATTAGTGAGTATTCAAATCGTACTTCTAATCTTACACTACCATGCTTTATGAGATTCCAATGGGCTGATGAGTTAGCTGATAAATCAGGAGTTAAATCAAATGCTAAAAGACAGTAACCTTTGGCATACTGTTCACGTGAGATTGCATTTCCTTCATTAAGAAAGTGAATACCAGTCCCCGAGAATAGAGTATGATATGCTGATGTAAATATATTATTATTAAAAGATGGTTGCAAAGCTTTGGATGGTATTTGTTGACCATCAATATATAAGCTGAAAGAGTTAATACCATAATTTTCAAAGTTAAATGGATTTTTAGTTAGTGAACCATTAAATGCAGAATTATTCACAAAACCTATAATACATCTTTTGGGTACCTGTCCTAAGAATATATTATCAAGAGTTTTTCCTTGAACACCCGATGGAATTGTTAAAACTTTAACTTCAGCACGAGTTATAGGATATTTAGCAGTGGTAGAAGCTAAAACTTTCTGATGAGCGAGTAATACATTTGGATTAATTCGTGCTCTTCGAACAATAAGAGTTGCGTTCGTAATGCAAACTTTAAACTTTACATCATTTGACCCAGCAAATGGGCATTACTCTCTGGTTTATATCCTGTATGTAAAAGTGTAGATCGGGTAGCATCTTACGCAATTCATGGAAATAAACTAAAATTTACTGGTATTTCTTTTCCGGTTAAAATTGCAGATATATCAAAAGTTGAAAAATTAAACAATATTAGTACCTATTAATGTTTTTGGCTTACCTAATAAAGAAAAAAAGTGTATAATTCCAACAGAATTATTAGGTCCTTTATATTGAACAA